AAATAATTGACCCGCGATCAAAAAAGGTTGCCGACCACTGTTCTAGAGGTTATGTAAAGGCAATATGCAAACTGTACAATGGACAAAAAAGTATTTTATTCTTCAAACAAACATCATCTCACACTTCAACTTGTCAGAGTCAGAATGACATATCTTGAGAACAAATACATTTGTAACACATTTGATTTTTTCTAATGTTCAACATACTTGTACATTTTACTAAAAGCTTGTCATACTTTGTGTAGATAAACACAGAAATTTGGAATTATAGCTAACATTCCTTCTCCAATATTGGGTATGTCCAATGGACCGACCTAGTGCACATTTGGTTAATTGTTTCATTATTTCTATTCAGGGTTTAAATTTCACTTCTTATCCATGTTGTCATCATCTTCAACAACTGGAGTTAAAGTTCAAAGTTCTTTGTATTTTCACCAAAATAATACAATTCTGACAAGTACTGTAATGTGTTCTCTCCCTGGGTAAGTTATTTTGGATTATTTGCTACAAATAATGCCAAGTCCAGTCCATGTAATGATAACTAATTTATTTTTTCAATAACATTTGCTACAGACTACATTCACTTTAATGCAAGTTGTAGGCCTAAGTTCACAAACAAACTTTTTAACATGAACTCTGAAACTACTGTAGACCTAATACACTAATAACATTTAACAACAGTTTACTTGATAAAACATGCTAACTCACTAGTTTTATTTTATTGCAGAGGTAAAATCGTTTCAATATTTTATGGTCATCCCACGAAAGTTTGAGAATATAATAGTTTATTAATACGACAATGAGTTGAAGCTTTCTTTGTTATATTGAATGTAAACGAAAATATAATCTGTTCAAGCACATGTAAAATTCTGAACCAGGCCTACCCAAGTTGTAGATCGTATTCACACAAAATGAACTCGTTAATAATACTGACAGTATTTCTTTGTCAAGCTTACATACTTAATAAAAAGGAATCTGTTTTTGTTTCTTTTATCAGAGTCACCCCTTCCCCAAAAATTTTTCACCAAAATTTTGAGACTAGTTTGGACATAAAACTATATTTAGACGATGTTTTTTTTTTTGTATTAATATAGGCTATACCCTTAAACTTACAATGTAGTTATAAAGTTGTATGGATACTTGTAACATTCGGTATGGGAAACTGTGTGCAATAATATATGATGAAATATTTTCCTTAACTGAAGGATTTTGTGACACGTTTGGTAGATTTAATGATGTAATTGCAATAACATTGTCAGAAAGGATGTAGTAGTTGAAAATAGTGGTGGCAAAATAGGACATTTGCTATAGTACTATTTCCAGAAATCACAGGAATTTACCAACCCTGTACACAAATGCTTGTACACAAACTGGTTCACGTGTAGTTTGCACAATTTATCTTAGAAACTGTCCGAAATAACAGTAAATATTTTATAACAATCCTTTATATTGATCAGTTCTTTTTTATGCATGGTTTGTAAAATTTTCCTAATCTAGTGTAAAATAAAAAAAAATGCTTGTAAACATTGCAGATGAGAATAATAATATTTTAAGCAATATTTTACTGTTTTAATTTAGATGTTAGCTAGGGTGTGCATGATGTTAAGATCAAGAACTTTCATAGAAACTTCTTACTTGATGGAAATGAGTTCTGTGTAGTTACAAATCATTAATGATTGGGTAGTTGTTAATTGAGAGAAGACTGAGTAAAGTTATTCAATAAGAGTTAGTGTTTCTGTAAGTTTGTGCTTTCCTAGTCAAGTTTAGTGATAAGATGTGGTTGCTCTTTCAACCAGTTTAACTGTGAGAGTGTAATGGAACGAAAGACAAGTCGAGCTTTGTTTTATTTCTTCATAAGTCATTCAGGCATGCAGGAAAAACGACAAATATTGTAAGTCAACTCAGTATCAGATAAATAGTTCGAAAATAGTTTTTAATAAAGTAAGTAAGAGTTCACAATGATCTACGCATATTGATAAATTCCCCTTTAAAGCCCTGAGTATATTCATAAGCGTTTACAAATCTTTGGCGTCTATCAATCAACCATTAGTAATCAGATGGTCATCTTCACCTTTGACATCGTGAGATTGCGAGTTTCGACCATTTTCTTTCAGGATTGGTAGACTGATAGTAATACACGAGTTGAAGGAGAAAACTATTTTGTGATATGACATTTACACGTAGTAAAAAAAATAAAAAAATCATGATATTTCTATGCCCCCCTACCAGTGGTACAGCAGTATGTCTGTGGACTTACAAGACTAGAAACCAGGTTTCGATACCCATGGTGGGCAGAGCATAGATAGCCCATTGTGTAGCTTTGTGCTTAACTTCAAACAAACAATAAAAATATGAACTATCCTAAAGTTGTTGTATGGAAACGATTATAAAAAATACTTAATAAGCACTTTTAACATATATTTTGTATTTGCCCATTACTTGTAGAGTCTGTCTGTTTTGCCAATTTCCTGTTGATTTTTTAATTGAAAATTGTAGGTTTGAGCTGGCCCGGCATGGCCAGGTGGTTAGAGGCGTTCGACTCGCAATCTGAGGGTCGCGGGTTCGAATCCACGTCACACCAAACTAGCCCTTTTAGTCGTGGGGGCGTTAGTGGGTCAATCCCACTATTCGTTTGTAAAAGAGTAGCCCAAGAGTTGGCGGTGGGTGGGTGACTAGCTGCCTTCCCTTTAGTCTTACACTGCTAAATTAGGGACGGCTAACGCAGATAGCCCTCGTGTAGCTTTGCGCGAAATTCAAAACAAACAAACAAACGCTTGAGCTGAACGGTATATGACGATCCAGTTAACAGACTTGATATTGCTAGAAAATCCTTAAAGTAAGCCTAACATATTTTAAGATACTAGCTACTTCGGTAATATATTTTCTTGCTGCATTTCAGAGGCTGAAGCAATCATTGTCAAGGCCATAAAAAACGACAAACAAACATTAATCAAGGAAGTATTTTAAAGGTTATACAGGATAGTTT